ATCAACGTTAACTAATTTTACTGACTAATTAAGGTTGAAAATAACATAGTTGTCTCTATGCTAAGCTGTTGCATAACATATAAATATTTTTGTAACAATTTAAAGATTGCAAGATTGCTTCAAATAAGGTCTTGACAAATAAAATGTTCCATCGAGTAATTTATATTCAATATTAAAAGCAAAATATGGTTCAGGGTTTGTGGGTTGGTAACTAAGTAAGTTATTCGGATTCCACTCTTAGCTGGTTTCAATTGAATTTTCAGGTATGCTGACTGGGTCCAAATGTAAAATATATTTTGTTATTAAATATAGTACGCAGTTCAAATCTCAATCAGCAAAAAAAAAAAATGATCCATTGCGTAGTTTTCGTTTGGCGCTCATTGTAAGTTGGAAAATAAAATCAAAAACATTTGTCATATTTTTGCTATGAAAAAAGTCATCTTAAGCTCACGAAAAGATTTGAGATGTTTATGATAAAGCCTTAAAAAAGGGCAGTGTCAAAATTGATTTGCCAACTTTCGATAGGGTGATTTTTAACTTCCCGTAGGGTAAGTTAAAGTAATCGCAAAAAATCGAAAATGAATTTTTTTATATATCTTTACGTTTCAAAGGTTTCTGAATATTTTGTGTATGTATGTGCGTGTGCGTGTGCGGACACAAATTTTCGTCGACGATTTCGGAAACACCAATGAACCGATTTGAATAATTCAAAAAACATTTGTTTCGTATTGATAAGGAGACGTGCTGATTAATTTTCGGCGAAGGCAGGTCTAGCCGTTTCAAAGATACTGAGCAAAAAGTGCAAAAATAGCTGGTTCTGGACAAATCAGCCGATTTAAATGATTAAAAAACATTCGATTTGTATTGATGTGGAGACGTACTGATTAGTTTTTGGTATAGGCAGGTCTAGCCGTTTCGAAGATACAAAGCAAAAAGTGCAGAAATTCCGATTAGATCCTAGACATCCGTTCATAGCGTTGTGCGTGAACATGTCGTTATAGCTGAGTTGGTTGTTGGTTGGCACGTCAGTGCAATTTTTGTTCGCCATAGGAGATAATAAGAAAATCAAAACTGATCGAATTCGAATACTGTAATTTTTTTTTAATATGTTTTAATACGTTTTATGTTTGTATAGTTGATACTACATGAACTATTTAATATTGTTAACGAAAAAATGATGCATTTGAAATAAAATATGTTTATTCTAACAATAGGTCCACTTAATTAGATTTGTTCATATATATTTCATTCAAACTTATGTAAACAACGTCGTCTAATTTAATAAGTTTTCACAATTTGTCTACAAGGAACAAATATTAAAACTTCTAGTTTTTATAATATCGCTCTGGTCGTCCAGTTGAAGTTGATTACAAACAAATTGTCTACTCCTACTCTTCCAACAAACGATCAATTCTAATGTCAATATTGAACAATCAACCAAATTAAACAATGCAGTTGAAGAAAAGCGGCCTAAATTGAAATCCAAAACGTTGAAAATAAATCAACATTATTGACATCACATATCTTTGGTCAATCGGCAAAAAATATTGGAGTTTGATTGGGATGGTAAAACTCCTTGGATGGTAAAACATTCAATGATTATGATGGTATCAAATTGTACCTGATTTAGTTTTTTGCTAATAAAAGCCAAATTGTGAAAGTGGAATAATAATGCTGCTTGAAAGATGGCAAAAAGTCATTGAGCAAAATGAACAATAATGCTTTACGGAATAAAGTTATTTAATTCCATAAGAAATATGTCTGATTTTTAATCAAAAATCCAAGCAAAAGTGAATATGATACCTAAAAAAATCTATAATCACGCAGAGATCAATTATTACCAAAAAGAAATTGAGAAAGTTATAATAATCGAGCATAAAAATTATAAAAATTTAATTAGAAGCATAAAAAAATATGTTTATCGCGAAACTTCAATGTGTATAGAGTCAGCTTATGTTTACACATAAATAATATGCTGTATCTGTATCCTAAAACAAATATCACACAAATGCTTTGTATGCATAAATTATATAAGTCATTATCGTACAAAATGGTCTTGACAAAACCAATTACACAAATATGAAAACGGCCACAATCAATAAAACCGAATACATACATTTCAAATTCTCCAAGCGGTTGAATCCAAGACCTTGAACTAAACATAATATTTTCGTCACGGTGGCCTTGAGGTAATATAATAGCATTTTAGATCATTCACAAATATTCAACGACTATTATGTTGAGTTCAGGCCCAGGATGCACATAATTAATCAAATTTAACTGATAGGATTTTTTATAAAGCGTCAAACGTCTGAAAAGCGACATTGTAGGTTATATGTGGGTCGGTTTGTAATTTTTGTTTTTAAATCCAATGTAAATAATGTCATTTAACTTTAATAACTAAAAACTATAGTACTGAATATTTCAATCAAATATGCTTAAGTAGACTTTCAACAGGGAAGTTTTCAATAATGTAAATCTAATCTAATAAATAACTAATTTGACAGATAGATGTACATGAAATAGCAACTATAATATCGGCTTTAAAATTACTCAGGTACTTACGTGGATTCAGCAGTTTTTAATATGAATACACCTTTATAAAACATTTATCGTCACAATAAATAAAACAATTATTTTATTAACAATCACAATATTCAATTAGCAACAAAATATACGTCTATTTATTTGCGCTGTATTCTGAGCGATGACAATGCTATCTATGAACGAACTCTTGAAGTAATGAAAAAAATAGGGGAAGCCGGGCGCAAATGAGATTTTGTATGAACACCAACGATTTGTATTAGATTAAATGGCGTTTCTGCCAAGACTTTTACCTTAAATATCTTGTTAATTTTTTTTAATAAAATAAATTTTGTTTCATTAGCACTAATTTAAAAAAAAAACTAGTGGGGTGTATGGCATCGTGCCTTAAGGCAAATTGCAGAAACTTCCCGTACCGTAAGGAAATGTTCAAGGAATACTGCATATTTTCAAATAGATTATTGTAACGTTGTCTAATATTTATAAGATTTATATGAACTGAATTACAAAGTTGAAATTATTTGTTTAAAATATATTAGAACTATAGTCAGAATTAAAAATAAAATATGAATTATTTTCGATATACAAAAAAAAAAATTTTTGAAAAAAAAAAGTTGAAACAAAATTTTTTTTTCCAAAAACAATTATTTTGTTAGACAAGCAGAAAGTTCTTTGAATCATTTGAATCAGACGCTTAGTTCTCTCAAAAACTGCCATTTTTTGCACATTTAGCTCCGTATCTTCGAAATGGCTGGGCCTGCCTTTGCCAAAAACTAATAAACACTTCTCCCAATCATTACTAATTGAATGTTTTTTAGATAATTCAAATCGGATACTCCGTTATCTCAAAAACTCTATTTCTATTTTCTGCACTCTTTGCTCCGTATCTCCGAAACAGCTGGACCTGCCTTTGCCAAAAACTAATCAGCTCTTTTCCCTATCAATAGAAATCGAATGTTTTTTGAACCATTCAAATCGTTTAATCCGTGCGCCCGAAAACGTGACTGGAAATTTGTATCCATACATACATACATACACACACACACATCCATTTTTTCTGAGGTATGCCAAAACGTTCAGAAACCTTCAAAACGTCGAGAAATGTAAAAATTTTCAATTTCGGTTATCGGCCCATTACAATAACTTACCCCACGGGAAGTTAATTAATAGAATGTTCGAAATCAGTCCGGTGTATCGTAGACCAATCTATTACCCATTGTTAAATCTCGTATACATGAAATATTTAAATAATCAGCTAATTTGGTAATATCATTTAATAGCAAGTAAAATTGAATTGTTTTGTTGAAAATCAATAATTAGATCCATATCTTTTATCTAAGAATACGGTGCGAGCTGATGAGCTCATCTTGTCTCATTAACCGGCCAAATGGTTCACAAATACCTACTGCTTCAATAATAGTTAATTGTCTTGCATATTTCAAATAAAATGGTCCACAGAAAAGTTCTTCATTTTTATTGGTTCAGGCTTTTTGGCGAAATCTTTGACAAAACTGTCTGCACTTAAATGTTAATTATAAAAAAAACGGTTCAGCCGATCGTCTTGTATAATTAATCAACACTTATTGCATTTCATGATATAGCTTTTATATTTTTACGATAGGCCAAATTTTGTCTAACATACATCTAGATACTTTTTTCAAACATAGTGGCAAGTGATTCACAATGGCTAGAAACATCGAAAAACTTATAATTAGCAAATCAAATAAAATTTTCTGGCAAAACAAAGTTCAAAGTTTATATATCGTAAATATAACCAGCAATATCGTTAAACCTATCTTTTCCATGATAAAAGAGTTTGTTACAGTTTGAATTTAAAACCATTGATTGCTAAAATTTCAATAGTTCAAGAACTAAAGCCAAAATATATAGATCAGTTTCAAAAAATAATTCTATGTTCAATATATAATAATACATCTTTATGATAAAGTTTAATATGTGCGAGGTAAAAATACTTAAAAAATTTATATATGTATATTCATAATACAGGAAGGAATGAAATTACTTTTATAACCCTTTCATTTAGTTTTCTGTATTATAAAATATTTTATTTTCATATTTAGGTTTTAAATTACTAAAAAATATATTTTGATAACCCATAATCAATCAAAAAATAATATCTTTTAGTATATATATATGTTTAAATAAACATAGTTATATACACATAGTATTTTGCATCACAGTGAAAATAGTATATTTACTAATTTAGCTACCGATTCCAGTAATGTATGCCATTAGTTCTTAAAATTGGATAGAAGTTCCCAATTCACATGCACATTTAATAAGTTAAATCGATATAGAAAATATAGATTTCTCGATATGTTAGAGCAATCTAATACAATATCACCAAAGTTTTGAAATAGAATAACTTATAGTTTGTTCATAATTAATAATCAATAATGTAACTAAACTTCTGAGTATTGTCATTTGTCTTATAATCACTGACTAGGCCAAAAATACTTTAAATCTAGTTATTAATAAAAAATAGTTATTACTACAATCAACATAGCAATTAAATTACCTTGAGTTAAATTGGAAGAATTTTTATTATTTCTATTCCTACTATCAGTTGTTGAACACACACTGTATGATATAGATTTCTTTCTTTTGCTGTCAGTATAACCAGGAATATATAAAGTAGGTTCTTCCAACCTTCCAGAACCCACCAATCTAGAGAAATCCTGCTCCAACTTACCGGCTATCGGTCCTTTAAAATGAACCACAAGTTGCACACAACCACCATTATGCAAAATTTTGGTTTTTCGAGAGTCAACTGAGAGCATCCATGGTGGTAAGCCCATCACCCTCCGAACCTAATATTATAAAATCATATTTATAAAATGTAGTATACATAAAAAGTATCAAATTTGAATTAAAATAATGTTCTTGTTAAGCATCTTATATAAAAGAAGTGATAAAAATAATTGATACTAATAATACTAATATTTTTAAGGAAATAAAACATATTGCAGTAAATATTAATTTATCAATTTTATTTTAATTATTTGACTATAAATTTTGAATATTACCTCTTAAATAAAGCATATCATATAATTTACCTGCTGAAGAAATTGAGCTACTACAAACTTGGGTGGCCTGCGTATATTAACATATTTAACAATATCATGTTCAGGTTCAATATTTGCACATGCGTATCGATCATTTGATCCATTTGGTCCTAGTATAACTAATGATCGTCCTAATGCATTAGCTGGGCCCTCTAATGGGAAGAGAGGATCTGTAAAAACCTAGAATGAAATAGATAAAAAGATTATTAACATAAAAATTCATTTATTCTTTATCATTACCATTGATAAATTATTCTATGAAAATTTGAAAAGTTCATAATTATTTCTGTTTGCGCTTGATAAAAATAAATCAAACTATAAAAAAGAATGATGTTACATATAATAAATATGTTTCAATGGTATACTTTATAAATTATACTAAACGTAACAAAATGATATATCTACCTGTCTACCAACACCTAAGTCTAATACACCGAGCCGACCAGATACGTCTCCAGCATAACACCTTAACGGATTATCAGGGCCGCATTCCTGATCATATCTAAATACAATATTTTATTGAAATAATTAATCATCTCTACAATGATTTACTTTGTTTGGTAATGTGTAAATATTCATTAAAAATTTATAAAGACTTGAATGACTATGTTAAATCTGTTAATAGCTAAGCCTTTGTAATATGGTATGATGTTCAAACTCAGATTTAATATAAATCTTTCAATTAAATTAAAAGTTAAAAACTAAAAGCTTTTATCTACCTTCAAAGTATCAAATTGATATTAAGTGGTTATTCAAGATTTCTCGAATTTTACTGGCCCGACACTTGAAATTTTCAGAAGAATTTCTTTATAGAATCTCTTCACATATACTAGCCTCATCCCCAAATTAAAATTTTTACTATATTAACAAAATTCACAAAACTCAAAAAGTAGTAAGAAACATTAAAAAAAAACTTGTTAAACTTAACCCTAGTATATACCATTACGACATCATTTTAGATTAATAATATTTTCTTTTTCTTGATTTTGGATTACTAGAAGGCTTGCATTTTGGTCATGGTCACGTCCATGTCCAAAAAAATGATAGTCAAAAAAAATGATCGCTTTTTTTGCAACAATTTAAAAATGACCTAAAATTGATCTTTCTATACTAGAATACCCCCTTAAAGCAAATGTGTGATTAAAAACTATCTAACAAAACCTTAAAAACGCAGTCGTTATGTGCAGACTCTACTGATGCATTGCATGATACCACTATATTTTAATAAATGTAATAATATACATACAATTCTGTATTCTGAGGATCAGCTAATTGGGTATAAAATGGATTCCAAGTATATCCTCCAGCCACACATCGAGTAGCAAAAGTTTTAACAGTGGCATCAACACCAACAGGATTTACAAAAATTTGCCAGCGGTGTCCTCTTGATACGTTGCGATCATGTGCTCCAGGATGGCGTAAATTTACCTACAAATTGATATTCAAATCTTATATCATGTTAATATATTAACTATTTAGCTATGTAGATAATCTTTAAGTATTTTATACAATAAAAGCGCAACAAGAGTAATTTAAAATAATGACCCCTTATAATTTTCCATTTTATTGAAATTACTCAATTAGAACACTTATCTAATACATTTCTAAATTTAAAAAATATATAGTTATTCAACAACCTCAATAATTGTATCACTTTCTTCGCCATCTCCATAGACTAGTTGAGAAAACCTAACATATCCATAGGCATGTCCAGCAGGATTATGAAACGAAGCTACAGCTCTGAGTTCGCGCGCTTCACCAGGACTGTAGCCTCGTTCCAGGGTGGCACACGCTCGTCGAACATCATGGACCTGTGTTGTGCCCAAACCTTGCAAACCTAGGAAATGTGATAAATACAGTTTCATTCTTAATTATTAATTCGAGGCGGGTTTACATATGATAAAATACAATTAATTATTAACTATTGTCAATATTAAATTAGTCATATACGTCACATACGTATATCTAAATGAATTTTCTTGTATGTATCATAAGTATCAAGTGTGTACAATAATTTGAAAATTAAACAATTATTGAAATAATATAACTATTAGTTAATAATATAACCTTTGTAATGAAATGTATTAAATGTAATTGTAAATGAATATTAAATGTTTCCAATTTAATAATAGCCAGTTAATAATATAACCTTTGTAATGAAATGTATTAAATGTAATTGTAAATGAATATTAAATGTTTCCAATTTAGAAAACTTTAGATCTTCAGTCAGAATTAAAATTAAAATCTGAATTATTTTCGAAATAAATAAATTAAAAAAAAAAAATTGAAAAAAAAAGATTTGAATCAAAAAAAATTTTTTTTTCAAAAGCAATTATTTTGTTAAAACAAGCAGAAAGTTCTTTGAATCATTCAAATCAGACGCTTAGTTCTCTCAAACACTGCCGTTTTTTGCACGTTTAGCTCTTCAAAATAGCCGGACCTGCCTTTGTCAAAAACTAATCACTTCTTCTCCCAAGCATTACAAATTTAATGTTTTTTAGATCATTCAAATCGGATACTCTGTACTCTCAAAAACTCAATTTGTATTTTCTGCACTCTTTGCTATGTAACGGCTAAGCCTGCCTTTGCCAAAAACTAATCAGCACATCTCCCTATCAATAGGAATCGAATGTTTTTTGAACCATTCAAATCGGTTCATCCGTGCGCCCGAAAACGTGGAAGAAAAATGCGGACATTCAAAACACACACACATCCATTTTTTCTGAGATATGCCAAAATGTTCAGAAACTTTCAAAACGTGGAGAAATGCAAAAATTTTCATTTTACTATAACTACCCTGCGGGAAGTTAATAAATAATTATTTATAAGTGATATAATCTTTTTGACCGATTTGTTCCCCTACAATTCAAAAGTAACGAAATAATATTTTATATAATTCTAAGGGCAACAAATATTCATCAACTAAATTAGAACTTCAAAAGAATTACTCAAATAAGTTGATGTTTGCTTAGCTGAATCTTATATTCATTGCTTCAAATATCACATGTTCAGTATGAATCTTATGAGAATTTGAAGAAACTCATATGTTGGAGCGGAACGGATCAACTGTTTTTTTATTTCAATGATTCAAATTTGAAATGTAACTAATTCACACTTCGTGGTGAATAATAAAACTTCGACAAATTCACATCATATCCATAGATAACTTAATAATTTATAAAGATACGAAACACAATACTTTTAGATAGATTTATCAACCAGAAATTAATCTTTCGTACTTATTTATTATGTTTAAATTCAACTATTTTAATGAAAGCAAATATTTACCATGACCATGAATAGCAATTGATCGCCCGATTACAGCAGAATAACCAAAAAGGGGCAGCATTGAATCATTGTACGTAGCATGAAATTCAGTTTTCCTATATTATATAAATAAAAACAAAATAATAAACAAAACATAATAGGTTAAAATCATAAAATTAAGTAATGGGAATGATACTTGAAAGTTAAAATACATGCTATTATAAATAATTAAAGTTAATTGAATGAAATGAGTCACAAGCTAAAAAAATTAACGACAATAAAATACATATATATAAATGTTGATAAAAAATATTAAATCAAAATAATAAATCTTTAAAATTGAATTGATCAAAAAATAATATTTTTAAACATCGATTAAACTCGTAATTTTGATATTACTCATAATACCTCATTTTCGGTTTCAGCAGTTACAGCCATAGCATAGCAAATTTTGTAAAAAGTTGTAAAGTTATACATAACTAATAGAATGATTCAGGTATATTTATATAAAGGGGTGTGATTTAAAAAAAATCCTTAAATTAAAAACTCACCTGTCAAGATGTCCAATTTTACTGCTAAGATCACCTACTGCATACTCTCCTGCCGATGTAGTATTTTTCTTTTTAACTTTTAAAGGATCATAAGTACCACCTAAAGTTTCTGGTTCACATGGAAATTCAAGATCAACCTCTACAGGAGATTCATGAATATAATAGTTGTTATAATCTCTGCTATCTAAATTAATTAACTCAATTTCGATGTTGGTCCTATCATATTCTGATTGCTGCGTTATTTCAATTTTACCTTTAAACTAATCGAACTATTAGTATTAGAAGATATTTTATTAATGATTAATTTTAGTAATAGAAGATAGATAAACTAAACTAAATAGTTCTAGTTCAAGAGAAATAGTCATAATACCTACATTTACCAGTCTTTTTACTTAAAACTTAATATATATAAATATAAAAGATAAATAAAAAATTTACAATATATTCTATGTACTTCGTCTTGCAAGCTAAAATAACCCAATGTCAAAGTCAACCATAAATTATTATCATTAAGTAACTTAATTTTTAAAAATAATTCATAAAACTTTTAAATTGTGTAATAATACTTGTAATAATTTAACCTAAATACCTTTATGGGACCTCCATTTGGAAACCAATCTTTGGCCACAGCTTTTCTTCTATAAACTGGCACAAACGCAGCGCAAGCTAAACGATCGCCACGCAGAGCAGTGCCAATATCATCATAAATAACGAGAGACTTCCCAAGAACTTTTCGAGGTCCTTGTAATGGGAGCAGAGTATCAGTATACAAACGTCTATAATATATATTCAGAGTATTTAATTAGAAACTAATAATATTTTTACATTTAAAATATCATATGTAAAAAGTTTATATAAATTTTTCCTGCATAAAATTTTGTAAAGCAAACAAAAAATTATAAGGTGAACATATTTTGCATTCAAATTACTACATAAACATTTTGGCATACAATATTATATATTTAAATATAGATTTTTATATTAAATTACCTTGTAATATTTTGAGCTTCGATTTTAGAACCAGCTATTGTTAGTGATCCGTGTCTCCCAGACAGATCACCTACCCTGCATGTCTCAAGAAAACATGGACCATCACTTGGTAAAGAATTCCAGGGATTATATACGTTGCCAGCACTTAGACACCTAAATCAATAATAATTCTAAAATTAAGTAGCCAATAATTATGTGTGCTTGGCAAATAAAATTCATATGAATAATTCAAATAATTTCATTATATTATGCCCTATAAATATATGTATTTACAGCTAAACATTATTTAACCCTAAAAAATATCATCAAAGTACATAATGGTTTATCAGTAAATGGACCAAAAGCTAATGAACCTTTTGAATAACAGTGTTTTACAACAAAAGGTGATTAATTAAACCAAATTTATCCATAAATTTCATTTTCAAATTTATACATATTATAATGTATAAATTATATTAATATTTAACGTACGAGTCTTAAATTACTTGCGCTCCCGCCATAGAATCTTTTCCCTAGCCTGGTAAGTGCTTAGGCTGGACAGAATAGACTGGCATTGCACACACGTTTTTAAAATCGCTTAGAAAAACACATATATAAATTTTAAATCAGATTAAGTTTATTTTAATGCATATACAACTTGCTCACAAATGAGAACTTAATGACTCGCTGGCAAGTACTTCTGCAGGTTAATATTTCAACTTCTCAATGGATAAATTAAATCATATAAAAATTTGAAGCATATTTATACTTCCTATAAATTTTACAAGACAAGTTTAATTTTTGTTTTTTCTCTGCTTTTTTAAACTCCTGGATGACCATCATGTGCAGGGCTGAAACCTGCCAGACAATGTTTTTGGCACTAAACACGCAAAGGATCACCAGTACAAACATTTTTAGTCTTACAGGAATACCGTTATTCTAAAGATTCAGTTATTCCATTCAAGATCTCAGCTTAAAAGATGTGCAACAATCTGTATAATAAACTCTATTCTATTAAGATTATCCTAAATCTTAGTTCATTCTACTTACAAAATATTTTTAACTGTATATCTAAGAGTTCTAGAAAAATTCAATAAAATACCTCAATATAAAAAAACCTAAATTACTTAAATGGCAAAATCATTCTATGTTCTAATAAGTAAATTGTTTAATTACAATTCTTTTCATATATAAATAATTCAAATGATTTGTAGTTTGTACATCATTTTTTATAATTGTGAACTGTTAATGGAAACAATAAGCAGTGGAGAATCTGCTAGAAGTAATATAAAACATAAACAAAAAGAAAAAAATACAACAGTAAAGAAAACAAAATTAAAGTAAAAATGACCAGATGAGATCAGTGGGTACATAAAAAATTGATCAAAATCGAAATCAAAAACGTTCGAGGGAATTAAAAAGATATTCACTATAATACCTTCCAGTCCAATTGTAAAAATCTCTCCCTGGTGGATTATCATGCACTGCCCAACGGTGATCACCAGTTTTATTAGTGCTTTTACCATCAGCATGTGTTAAATATTCAACAAGTATTGTTGTATCTGCCCAAGGGTGATTTTTGAGTTGACGGAATAACATATGACCAACGATTGGATACCTACAATAATCAAAATATATAGATCTACTTACTGAATATAATCTTAATTCATTTAAATGGTTAATATTTAAATTCTTATTTTAATATTTTGCATGTATTCACATTTTACAAGCAGTACATGTCAATACAACAAAACGAATAATAAATTACCTGAAAAGTATCTTAGCAGTAAACAACTGAGCTTGCTTTCCTTGCCCATCTCTCAACAGAATTGTTGCACATTCATTTATTCCATTTGCTGTTCCAACTATACTCCTATGAACCACACTGTGAATTCCAGTTAAAGGTAAAAATGTGTCCCAGTAAAAGTGGTTTAAAGCAGGTAAACTTATTGCCCCATTTCTCGGAGCAAACTTTCCATACAAATTACCAATTGAATATTGCTCTTGTGTGCCATAGCCAGGAGGAGGTACAACATTATCTAAGAAAAATGAACCCAAGAAAAATCCTTTAAATTATGTGATGAAATTATATACACAATATTTAATAAAGCAATTAATAAAAAATCATTAATATGTATATATATATATATATATATATATATATATACATATATATATATATATATATATATATATATATATATATATCCATTCAATTATATCTTATTATATCGTATTATAATCTGTAATATAAACATTTACCTGATTTCAATTTCTGCAAAGGATCATATATTCGACCAGAGGTTGAGCAATACTCTGTTGTTCCAATCATTTTAGGATGCGGAGGTAAATCATGTATATTATGTTCATAAACAATTTCAGATGAATAATTAGAAAATGTAAAATTAACAAATGTAGGCTCATACTTCCAATACTGTGTCATTGTAATTTCTTTATCTTTTAAAACAACTCCAGCTATAGTATAGTCAACAAGCCGAATCTTAGAACATGCTAAAAAACTATCGGCATGTTGATCTTCAAAAATTACCACATACAATTTCCTCTGTTCCCCCACAATAGCACTTGATAAGGCCGAAAGAGCAAAATCTCGATATGTAACTTTTTGTGAAGATTTTGTTATATCTGCAGCAACATGAATTTTTCCTACTCGTTTATCTACATCCCCAATACCTTTACCTAATCCTTTATCATCAGGATCATAAACAATTTGCAATGCATTACAATTTTCTTCATTTTTATCAGCTTTAAAATCAAATATATCTGTTACATAGATTTTCCAATTATGTTCTGTGAATTGCCTGCCATATTTGCCTGATGTTGGTTTTGTGTGAAATAAATTTGTATAGATTAACATATCAACATTATTGGATTTTGCTGATGCAATCCATCGAAAATATATAGAACCAGAGACAGGATGATAAAATCGAGCTTCTGCTGTGCGTTCAATGGATTTGTCTTTAGAGGTTATCGTACCACACGATAACATATTATTATCTACATTTTTTAAAACTATACTTCTACCCCAAATTCCTCCTTCACCTGTTATTTTGACTGGTAATTCCCAAGAGGACGTACTATTTTCAGGAATTGTCAAATAACCAATTAGATTTTCTAAATCCAATATTTTCTTCCCCAAATCTTTTTCATCACATCTATTTTCAATTTTTGAATAATCAACAGGAAATTCATAAATAGACCAAGTAATAATTTGTTCAGGATATTCTAAAGTTGGTTGTAAATTTGTTTTCAATTCTGTAATCTGTGCATCCTTTTGAATAAATTGAATTTCCCCATGCAAACCACTTTGTGAAATGAGAGCATTCAAGGTAAAACATAATGTGCACTCAAATAAATTGAAAATTAGTATAATTCCTAAAAATGAAGCATACAACATGCTAAGTTAAATTAATTTTAATATTAAATAGATTTAGAAACATATGGCAGTCTATGAAGTAACCTTGCCTTGATTCACCTGTCAGGTGAAAGTAAGTAAGTAGAGCACAAGGTGATTCATTCTTGAAAATAAGAAATCAACATTAAAAACTTATTCCATGCATTTAATATGTGCAAATATTCAAAAGTTCTAGAATAATTACATTTAATGTGATTTTTCAATGCAAATCTCTAAAAAAAAAACTCATATGGGGTGGTGAATTGTATCAAACAACATTAAAATAGTAATGATTTGCTAATTATTATAAAATGAAAAAAATATTATTTCGCAAAAAAAAATATTATTCAGCAAACCTAAGAAATGTTCAACATTTTTTTCTTCATATGAAATAAGAAATAATTGTATACTCGTAACTCTATTTCTAAATAGAGTAATTGAAATTAATCAAATGTAAAGAAAATTCTGTTGTAAACGACTATAGTAAATTTAATGAATAGCAAACATTCTCTGCTTAATTAAAATATAGCTAAATTTATTAAATTTACTAAGGCAAAGAATCAGAATCAATAATTTGAGTAACATCCAAACTATGGAATATAGCAAGATGAAAAAAGTTGTTTTTAAAATAAATGTGAACATTAATGTACCACACATATATGTAAAGTTAAATTTTAATTATAATGATTGAATAATAATAAAAATTGAAACCATTTTCCTAAAACATTAAGCAATTATTGATCTACATAACTTAACAATGCATTATAAAATATTTTGTTTTCAATAGTCATTACGTGCCATTATTCATATTAAAACATTACTAATTTAAAAAAAAACTCATATTTAAATAATTGTTGAATTATATTACGATTAATAAATACCAATCACTTACATTTCTATATAACAGTTTTGTATTGAATTCATTGTAGTTGATTATTTTTTAACCTAAAGAAGGTTCATATTGTTTCAACATTTCTGGATGTTTCTCTAGAATTTTGTTTGACATAGTAATTGAAGTAGTAAATCCTTGTAAATTCCAATATCCTCTTAACAATGAGTCATCAACTCGGAAATGTCCAAGTCTAATGCATCTGATTTTATTGCAATGTGCTACAGAATGCAAGTGGTACCCAATATCATGTATCAATGTCATTAAATATTGCTCATATTCATTTATGCATTGTACCTCTGAAAGCAGTTACATATTTAATGCAAAATATAATGTTAGAATTAATAAATACTAGAGTATCTAGTCACCTATCGTAAAGTATGGTGGGGAAAAATCTATACATTTTAATCCATACACAACAGGTAATTTATATTCTGCTGGTCTGATTGGACCTTTTATTGCTAGTTCATATGCCGCTTGAGATTCTAAATCAACTCCACATTGCCTAAATAATAATACAAATGCTAATTATTTTCATATACAAATATGTGGTAATAACATAAGATAACTTAATATTGAAAAATTAAACTAAAATTCATTTGAAGTAATATGTAAATTTGATCTATTCTAATAAATAATTTGTAAATTCACATTGTTTATTATATAAATATAATTTTATACCAAATGGCAGTATTTATAAACATTTAGGTAAGCATATCATACATACTCAAACATTTTTTTTTGGTGTGATGCTTGCATTGATGCGAGTAATGAATCAATATTGCTTCTGCGTATTCTATGATAAGTAGCTTTTTCCACTATTTTGCCTGTAGAAAAATAATTATCCGTAGCTTCTCCAAACTTGCCGGTAATTTGATATGCTCTTGTCGGTTTGTTTCTATATATCAGATTAGCCAATTTGCAACCACTATTAACCCCAAGTACTATAATAAGAGAATTGAAAAGAAAATGTTATAAACCAACCTTAAAAATTTAAACATTAATTCAAAATACTTGATTAGAATTTGCATTTTGTCTTAAGAGGCCAGACTATTTGGGAATGCAAATCCTATTAATTTTTTATATCAGCATGTAGCGGATTGAACAAATATTAAATGCTAAAGATTTATTTTAGTGTAAATGATATGAAAACTCTGAATTTTTTCACAAAAAAGTGATTTAAAATTGGTAATAAAAAATCTAAATTTTAATCTCAAACTTGATCATTTTATAAATTAATATTAATATAATATAATATAAATATTATATAATTAATATAATATAAATATTATATAATAAACATAATATAAACATTATATAATTAATATAATATTAAAAAGAATTACTGTACATACAATGCTCTAGGTGCAGGTTATGAAGAATTATGTGGCACAGAGACACTTAGTGATAAAACAAAATATCTTAAGTTATAAAACTAAAGAACTAAATTATCGTAAGCTACAAAACTTGTAAAGACTAATTTTATATTTGCATTAAATTAAATTCTCATGAATTCATTACTTACATAATAAACCACTTGTATTTCGTCCTAATGATGCAGCTGGGTTAATCTTCACATCTTGCATTTGATATCTCGGCCCTACTACCAAAGTGTTATCAGCAAAACTTTCTCTTACAGAAACTTCATAACAATCTGTTTTGTTGTCTATTGCAATTATTTTCCTTGGAGGTCTCACATGTTGATCGTTCAAATCTAATAAAAATAATTTTTTATTAACAAACAACAAAAAGATTATATTTATACTAAATGAACACTCTAATATAATAAGTTATTTAAATCTTGTAACTAATGATGACAAAAAGTATAAAAATTGGCAAACTGAAGTTTTCGTATTATAATTGAATGATCTCAACAAGCTTTTTGTTTTAAATAATTTAGAAAACAAAAGCCAGCAAAAAAATTCAAACCGCATAGAGTGCCTGCATCATTTCCAACAAGATTTTCTGGACAATATTTTCCAATGATGATATATCAAAAGTTTCAAAAAGGGTCAACAATGTGATAATGGTCAAAATGTTTTTTTTTCTACTTTTATTTTTTTATTTTTTATTGTACATAGCAAACCATACATACATCACATTCAGTTACTTTACATGTATATTTTATTTGACAGCGTAAAAGGATCGTTATCCTGCAATAGCACCTTCTTAGATATTATATGTTTTGATGTAGTAAATCATTGCATTTGAGACGCTTTCGCGGTAAAGGATTGAGCAGGTCACATACTAATTGGTTTGGATGATGACTTAGACGAGCTTTGTATTTTTTCTACTTTTGTACAATTTTCCAAGATAACAAGTATGCTTATTAGATGAAAACGAATAAGACTTGAATTCTTCATGTAATTTTTTTAGAATATAGTTATCTTCAAAACATTTTGCTATCAAAAAGGAATAGAAACATACGTCAATCTCAGTATCTACATTGTTGCAAGACAAAACATTCATTTGCAAATGAATTTCACATATATTGTTGAAACTCTATGAATATAATGAAAGCATTCTTCAATCAACATTTCCCTAATAACTCGGTATTACAATAACCGCAATGATAAATAACCTAACCTAAAAATCAAAATAATCTATAGATAATAATTACCTCTGCAAATGTTAGCAATAATTGTATTGCTGATACGAAATACACTGATTCCAGCAGGTTTGAAAACGTTAATAATTCCATTCAGGGAAGACCAAATCGTGGGAGCATCGTTTGTCCTCAACGATAATACATTTTTGGCTTTCGTACATGTGTTTACTACAGATATTTTTGCCATATCATAATATTTTCTCACATAACATAATTATATCTATTTGAAATGTCTTCTCTAGTATATTTATTTGTCAATTTCGCCTGTTTTTATGGGAACATTGATGGGAACCATTTGATGGATGTTTACTATGCAGATCTTTATTTCATAGGCTATTTTGACAAGTCCAAAACTATGACCACGTGCTTCGGGTTTTTGCTAGTATAATAAATATGAACACGAACACTGGTCGGGCTCATGGCATCGTGCCTAGACAATATAATCATGCCTTATGGCATCGTGCCTTAAATGGCCTTAAGGCAAATTGCAAGAACTTACAGTACCAAAAATTATTTTTTTTGAAAAAAAAAATAGATTTTTAAGAAACTATAAATTTTTGACAAAATTTACTTTTTTTTGGAAAATAAAGACTTCAAAAAAAATGTTTTCTTTATTTTAAAATATTGAAAAGCAATCGTACTGCTTAAAAAGCGCGCAAGCGCCGCGTCGCCCCCTAACCAATAAACAGTGGTACGGAACCCATAGGAATGTAAACAATGTTTATATTTATTGTTGAAATCTCTAGACCGCTAGACCTGCCTTCATGAAAATTTAATCAATTCTTTATCTTGACAATACAAGTAAAATGTTTTTTGAATTATTCAAATCGGACGGGTTCTCTTAAAAACTGAGTTACCGTTTGTGGCACTTTTTGCCCCAAACTAATGCCAAAAACTAATCTCTCTTTATCAACAGCAGTCAAATGTTTTTTGAATAATTGAAATCGGTTGAACCGTGTTCGTGTTCCCGAAATCGACGAAAATTTGTATCCGCACACACACAAACATCCATTTTCTCTAAGGTATGCCAAAATGTTCAGAAACCTCTGAAACGTAAAAATATATAAAAATTTTCATTTTCGATTTTTTTGCGATTACTATAACTCATCTACATGAAGTTAAAAAATACAAAAGATTATTAATCACTTCTCGGAGAAGGTGAATGTTGATTTTGCCAGAAAATCAGATTTGTAATTTCATGTTTTCTTGACGTTTCAAGTCATTATATTTTTAACCCTAGACTTAATTACATTTAACCGAGAGTATAATATGTTTTCTTAACCGTCTGAGACCAAATTTGGAAAAAGTATATGTGGCTATCAATGTATCAAATCAAAAAGACTATCAATGTATTTGAATAAGAAGAAGCGTTGATTAGTTTTGTATGATGATCGGCCAAACTATCAACTTATACGAAAGATGTTGGTTGGGAACCGTGCTATTTAGTTAAAAATATTTTTTTGATTGAAACTTTTTTTGATGAAACTTTATACAATAATAGAGAAATCATGATATTATAGTGTATATACTGCAATATGAATCGTTTAATTTTCAAAATTTAAAAATGAAAAATTGAGCTTTGAATTTATTGTAATGTGAGCCAAAATTTAATCCTTTCAGAACATTTTCTCAAAAAAGACTCAAAGCTCTTTCAAAACTCTATAAGAATTCGAGTTAGTTTGCCGAGCCGTTTCTTTAGACAAATGCAAAAAATTTCTTTCATATTTGTGTTTCATATATAATGAATACTATTATAGATATTATAAATATGTTTGAAATATATTAATTGCAAATCACACTGATTAGTTATTATTAAATGTAAAAATGTTGATTTCAGAATAAACAGTCAAAAGTTTTATATAAGTAGCTAAATCTCATACTTTTTATTAATTAAGTTGATTATTTACATGAATTGGATATTTCATGCAACTTGCCTTAACGTAAAATGCCACTTACAATTAGTTTTAATAGCAAATATCAGGTGCAATCATGCAATGTCTTAAACATGTTTTAATCACCTTATATTCCAATTGCCTTATATTCCAATGGAAACAATTCAGATTAATGTTCCCAATTTTTCATTACTTTTATTTTATTAATTAAATTTAATATCACATTTGAGTAAACTTAAAACAAACATTCTAATTATCTTTAGATTTTTTTAAATAAATATGCTCATACATTGAAATGATGAACCTTTTCCAAAAAAGTTCTGCTTGTCCAAATGATTCATCTAGCTCCATTGCAAATGCATAGACAACCCATTTTTCTGTTTCAAAAGTATTTTTTGGGAATCCTATTACATGAACTTTGTCACCATATTCAAATTCTCTCTGAGATTTATTAACTCTTTGCCTAATGATAACCATGAGTCTTTTCATTGCTTCAATACATTCTATTGCTATAGAACCATGCCTCGAGTCAGGTAACATGTTTGGCAAACCTTTCACTTGAGCAGAAGCTAATTCTGCTTCTAAATTATTTAAATCATTTATTTTCGATTTCATTTCTTTATTTTTGTGGTTTAATAGGACATTAATATATCCTGTACCATCATCTATTGTATATAAATTATTCTTGACATGCTTTTTAACTCTTACCACAGAACCATAAAACATAACTGTACTAAAAATATGATTATATAATTCATACCAAGGATTCTGTGTATAATTAGTTTTGTATGTGCTAAGTTTTAAGTTTGATATGTCAGATATTAAAAGGTACATTGGACCTTTATCACTTATTTTGTATGTTTCGGGAACTGTGCATTTATTTTCTGTACTAAACTTCTTATTATTTATGCAATAGTGAACATCAGTATTCACAAATTCTTCAAAATCAGGATCAAGAGGTTCATCTACACTTTTACGAACCCACCATGGCTCTTCGGATAAAGCATTTTCTTTGTTATAATTTTTTGAAAGATTAATATTACAATATTCAACTTGGCCTTGGGTCCCAAGGTACTTTTCATCACTTTTAAAATTAGAAATATCTACTTTTGAAGATCCATTTAGTAAAACATTGTTTATACTTGTTTTATCAATTCTTGTGATGGATTTCTCTGAAACTGGTTCTTTTTGTTTTGTCATATTTTGGCTGACATCATTTAAATTTGTTTCACTAAGTTTACGAGCTAAATTACAATCACTCTCAACATTTAAGCCAGAATTCATAATGAGGCCTGTAGAAATATCTACTTGCATAGAATTTTCAATAATATTGTTCATACTTGTTTTTTCAATTCTTATGATGGATTCCTCTAAAACTGGTTCTTTTCGTTTTGCCATATTCTGGCTGACATTGTTTAAATTTGTTTCATTAAGTTGACAGACTAAATTACACTCACTCTCAACATTTAAGCCAGAATTCATAATAAGGCCTGTAGAAATATCTACTTGCATAGAATTTTCAATAATATTGTTCGTACGTGTTTTTTCAATTCTTGTGATGGATTCCTCTGAAACTGGTTCTTTTTGTTTTATCATATTTTGACTGACATCATTTAAATTTGTTTCATTAAATTTACGCTCTAAATTACATTCACTTTCAACATTCAAGCCAGAATTCATAATAACGCCTGTCATGTCTACTTGCATAGAATTTTCAATATTATTTGTTTCGCATTTCTTGTTGCATTCGTTATTTTCCAGCAAATTTTTATTTCCTGAGAGATCTAAAATGCATTCATTATTTGTTATCAAATTAGATGTGTGTTTGTTGCTCAGATTATTACTGCCAATTGTTTTTATCAAATTTATGGGTTCATCGTCAGTAGTATTAGTATAAAGTATAGTATTAGAAGTAATAAATTTATCATGTTTATTCGTCTCATCTAAAGATAATTCTGCAAATAACTCATTTGATTTGCCTACCAAATGCACTCTGCTATCATTATTTCTGATAAAATTGGCAATGACATTTCCAGAAATTTCTTTTTGATTAACATTATAATCTTCTCTATTTCTTTCTTGATCCATATAATTAGAATCAGGGAGTTTTGAACTGACACTTTCAACTCCCGATGAATGTAATTTATTTGAATTATGTGATAGATCTATTGCCTGATCATTATGTATCATAATAGTTCTATCCAAATCATTTTCATTTGATATATCTTCAGATACTTCACTTTTAACATTTTCATGAATGGATGTTTGGAAATGCAAATTGATCTTATGATCAGAGCTGCTACTGCAATCTAAAGGTAAGCAGTTATCTTGAGTTAATGGAAATGAGTCAATTAATCGACTATAGTGCGAGTCTTGAACATTAATTACCATTGCACTTAATTCAGTTGCATTTAATGGATTTTTTTCATCACAAGCATTAAAAGAATAATCCTCTGAAATTTGTGACATTCTTATATGCTCTATAGAGTTCACAGTTGGTGAATAATAGTCTGCTGTATTTTCATTCTCATTATTTTTATTATTGCTAACATGTTGCGGTTCTGACACATTTAAGGGATTTTCTTCTCCAATACCATCAACGCAATAACTGTCACTATCCATTTGTGATGGAAATATGGTAACACAAGTACTAGGTATTGTACAACCATGAAAACTGTTAGTGTAATTTTCAACATCACTTTCAACATTATTGGAATTTTCCTCTTCTATAACTGTAGATTCAGCTGTTGTATAGTTTGAATTAGTATCACAAACAGAATCTTCAAATTTTGTATCTGTGAAATTATTTGACGACATGCTATTTTCACCATTGATATTCCAACAACTAATACCTAAAATTTGACTTTTATCATCAACATTATAAACATGCTCAGTTTTGATCAAATTAAGATTTTCATTTACTGATAAATAAGATTGGTTTGAATCATTATCATATTCGAAATTCAATTTTAAGTCTTGTTGTTCATTACACATACTATTCTGAGAAATGAATTCATTAATAGACTCATTTTTCAAACTTATTTCTTCAATTATAAATTCATCTTTTACACCGAAGATGCAATTTGTTTGTGTAGAAGTTAAATCGTTTTCTTTAGACATTTTTAATGATAAAGTAAGTTCTTTCTTTAGAACTTAAGTTGCGTTATGCCTAGGTCTGATAATGTTAACTTTTCACATTTTATATCTTATTAATATAACATTTATTTAAAACGAACTTTAAACGAAAATAACTATGACTAAAATCAACTGACAGATTCCAAATACTACAGAGGGATTACGGCATGCAGGCTGGCAGTTGCGGGTTGCAGGTTGCTGCCAACATTCATCAAGAAAAGTTGTTTTGACGTTATTCGTTATTTTTAAATATTGGCTGTCTGTAATTCCAACTGACAACTGAATGAATATTTAGCAGCAAGTAAAGTTTGAGGTTAGGCGTAAAGAAAAAATATATACAAATTCCATTCGGAAATGTGGTTAGATCGCGTACAAACAATTGCGAAAAATTTGAGAATAAATATACTTGGCTGTTTAAATTTTTGCTTTAAGTAAAAATGTCAGGACAGGATTTGCTATCGGATCAAGGATTACGGTTAGACGGTCGTAGGGCAAATGAAATTCGTAAAATAACTTGCAAGTTGGGGGTGTTTAGTCAATCGGATGGAAGCGCATACTTTGAGTTGGGAAATACAAAGGTTTTAGCCGCTGTGTATGGTCCCCATGAGGTACTATTTATTAATTTTCAATCTTAAAATCCAATCTATTCAAAAATTCATTCACACGTTGATGTCCAGCTATTAAAATTAAAGAATGTGAATGTAAAGAATTAAAATTAAGATATGTGATAGGTGTATACTTGATTGATCTTTATTTGAATATTCTTCTTAATTATGAAATAAATTTAAATATTAAATGGGTTTTTGATATGAGAAACTAATGTCAATGATGGAAATATTGATTTTAAAATTTTATAAGTAAAAGCACTTGTAAAGTGTAGCTTTCAACATTGATTTCAATACATAATATGCATAATTAATAATACATGAAATTAATTATATTTGTCCGATATAACCTAATATTATGTTAACTTATAACTAGCATTATATTTTCAACAGATCCATGGCAAGCAAAAAGGATTACATGATGCTGTTGTTGTTAATTGTCAATATAGCATGGCAACATTTTCAACGGGTTAGTGATATGTTTTAAATTTAATTTTGAATGCTCTGAGTATAATTTTATTCTTAGGCGAACGAAAAAATAGACCAAGAGGAGATAGAAAATCTCAAGAAATGTCATCACATTTAAAGCAAGCTTTGACGGCTGCCATTAAAACAGAATTATATCCTAAATCACAAATTGATATTTTTATAGAAGTTTTGCAGGTAATTAGATTTATATATTCTCTATAGTATTTCTAAAATGTAATATTTTTGATTGCGCAAACACTTTCATTTCATAGTAATATGACAGAGGAACAATCATGTTGATTTAGATATAATCAAATAGTTTCATATTTAGAGGATAAAAATAGCAAAAAATCTATGAAATAACCCAACTTCTTTTACGTTTTGGTAAAAATTAGTAATAATTTTAATATAATTTTTGATTACTGCTCAAAGCAATTTTTTTACATAAAATTATTTGTATTGTAAATTTTCATATAAATATTTTTAACAATTTCTAGATACTTCTAGAACTATTCTAGATTTATTTATGTTTAATAGGCAGATGGTGGTAATTACTGTGCTAGTGTGAATGCAGCAACTTTGGCTTTGATAGACGCTGGAATCCCATTGCGAGAGTATGTCTGTGCTAGTTCTGCTTCATTAGCTAATGGCGATGTTCCTTTAGTAGATATTTCTCATCTAGAAGAAACTTGTGGGGGCCCAACATTGACTGTAGCCGCTCTACCGACATCCGGTTAGTATAAAAACAAGTGAACTTTTTTCATTGATTTGTTTAAAGTGAACATCAAATAGATATGTATGTATGTGTGTATATCTTTTCTTTATATCATTTTCTTTACTGTATTAAATTATAATGTGATATATTCATTCTAAATATTTTTATCATTTAAAAAATTAAATTTAATTTGCAGGTAACATAGTTTTAATGGAAATGTCTCAAAGATTTCATTTGGATCATTTATCAAAGGTTTTAGAACAAGCACTACAAGGTTGTAGAGATACACAGCTCGTTTTAGATCAAGCTGTACGAGAACATATTCGAACAGTGGGATGTGCCAGTGGATTCGGTGTTGGACCTTCACCTAGCATTCTCTAAATAATTTTCAATCTTTGGATTTTAATGTTGAAAACCAAGTATGAAATAAATTTTTATTTAAACTATATTGATTACATATTTATTTACAAATTACGACTAGATAACATAATATAAAATATATTCATACCTTACTGCTGTTGCAATAAGAACAATAGATCAATTTAAAGAACATTATTTCATAATTTATCACACGCCTTTAATTAAGATCCTTTATGTTTATTTTAATACAATAGTACTAACTTAATAAACTAAGCTGATCCTCTGTTTTCCAACTTCATTTAATATTATGAAATTGAGCATAATCAATTTGAAAATTTATTCATTATTTCATAATGAAATTAAATTCTACTCAAAATTAATACGTTATAAGTTCAAGTTAAGAACAGTTTCTGATACAAACTGGATACACAGTTTCAAAACATTAAAATTCACAGTAAAAATTTAAGTTTCCTTTACATTGGCATTGTCAATTAATTGAATAATCTAAATCATGTGCATTTCATCTTAAAATTTTATCCGCTTATTCATCTATTATAATCATATTATCAGGATGTAATTTTTGTTTCGGAGCAATTTTTTTAAATTTTTGCATTGCTTTAGCTGTTTTCATTAATCCTTGAACTTTTCCCAACAATTTGGCTCTAGAGCTGAGCAAAATGTTTTTTTCAAAATTCAATTTCGATTCTACATTTGTCATGGACTTGATTTCAGTGCATGCCTGAAATATTAAGGTTTATTGAAGAAGTTTCTTATTTTGATAACATATGCTAATAGTACAATAAATCCGTAAAGTGCAAGTCTAAATTTTTCAATAACAAGAACGTTGTGCAACTTATATCCTAAATTGATGTGTTTTCAAATCAAACTTTTATAATAATGTGTTCTAAAATCTATAATACGTTGATAGAATACTATCAATTTTGCAACAATTAATTTTAACATTAAATCCAGAATAGTAATCTATAATATTGAACTTATACATATATCAGCCCTCAGAAAGCAACAAATATATGTGTGAGTCATATATGATTTGAACTCAGTAACAAGCAAGTTCTTTGTGTTCATCTAACTTATAATATTAGTAGATTGAAGATTTCCTAATTTTATTAAGTAAGTGTTCTCTGTTTCAGTATATGCAAAGAAATATAAAGTATTCAAATTATACTATTTAACTTCTCAAACATTTTTATTTTTGCGAGAAAATCTAAGACCAAAATCCTCACGATACGTTTGAGGTCAAAATCGAAAAAAGTATGCGAACCAAGTTTTGATTTTTTCTGGGCGTTTTCTCAAAAACAGCTGCACCGATTGCAAAAACTCAATGTAAATCAGTAAGGACTTGCGTCGATTACTTTTGTACGGTGTAAACTATCGAGTCATCGTTTTTTGCAGAATCGTGGACCAAAAAAAATGTTTGAAAGTTGGGAATGCTACTGATCACTTCGTAATTAAATGTTTTTAGGCATTTTTAAGGAAACGGCGATTGAATCCATGGTTTAAAAACAAACATCTTAAAATATTATAGTTCTACGAAGAGTTGTTGAATTATAAAAAAATTATTAAAGTTTGAGGACTGCGCTTTTAAGCATATAAGTTCATGTTTGTACTCAATTCTGTCAACACATACATGGATATTATAAGTTTGGTAGAAACATGTCATTTGAAAATTGCATTAATTAATAGTTTTTAGTAGGTGCGAAAATTTATTCACAAAATACATGAAAATCTTATCAGAATATATAAATTTCAATTTTGATTGATTTTGTTGATTATTTACATGTAAGATTAAAAGTTCATGCATCTTTCCTCTAGGCAAAATAAAATGAAACTCTAGTAGTAGGTATTTTTGAAAAAAATTGTCTTTAATCAAAATGCATCAACAATAAATATTAAAAATAATAATTAATAATTGGATCAAAATGCTTCAATAATATGAATATTATCAATTTTTATTGAATTTATTCAACTTTCCAATCGAAAAAGTAGCTAATTCTCTGTGAATTATTTGTTCATATTTTTTGTGTATATTCCTGATTTATAAATAAAACATTTAATCTATCGCAAATCATAAATTTTAAAATTTGAATTCTTTTCATTTGATATTGAAAATTAAAAAAAAAAATTTGTATATGATTTAGTCATTAACAAATTATCTTTGAATGGCGATTGTTTTGACTTGAGTGCGTAAATTTAAAATAATTAACGATTTGTATGTAAGAATTATGGATTTAATGCCATGCCCTTAATACATTTGCATCTACTTAAAGATGCTTAAATGACAATATCTCTAATATATCGATAGATCATCTATTCAAAAAAAAGTTTCTTAATAGAATAACTATTTTAACATCAAAGAATTTACTTCAGATTTTTGGGCATATCTACCTAAACTCATTAAATAACAAAATAAATATTGGAAATATAAAAACATTTAACCCGGAAATAATTTTTAATACTTACAGCATCAGCAAGTTGTTTCCTAGAAAGTTGGCAAGAGGCTTTGAATCCAAGTGCTTGCTTAATATATCGTACAGTATAATGCTCAGCATATTTCATCGCTAGCTCTCGATCTCTCTTGTTTTTAATGTGATCATCAATATTTCTCAAATTTGATAAGTCAATCAACATATGGCTGTATATTACCTACAGAAAAAAGAATCATTGGAGTAATTGATAAATGAAATGATATGTGAAATAATTAATACACTTTTTATGCATATGTTACCATATCAAAATATTGCGATCTTATATTTTCAGAGAACATCAAAGGAATATCAGGAATCATGGACTTTGGTATTTGGTTATTATTTGGTATGGAAAGGAGCGGCAATATCTCCAAGCTATTTGATTGGAATTGAGGTTGCTATACCTGAATTTCTGTTAACAGTTTGATATAACTTATAAATCAGATTCAAGACAAATTTTTCTGATGTTTAGTTTACTACTTACAAAACTTCCTTGAAAGAGAACAGCGCTCATTTTCTTCATATTCTGAACAACATTGAATGAAGTAGTTACAGTCCAGGTGGGTATAAATGAGTTAGGCAAAAAATAGACAACTTTCCTTAGGTTTCTGAAATAGATTATTATTAATCAAACTTGCTCAAATAAATGATGCAAAGTAGCAAAACAAAATTCTAACGTCTTTAAAATACTAATAAAAAACGATTAATAATAAAATTAAAATAATGTTTTATTTGGCTATATATGAGGCAATTATTATCAATCATTGACAAAAAAGCAAATAAAAAAAAAAGAAATAACAGTTTAAACATTGGATATAAATAAGTAATATAGCATTGATTCAAAGTTGTATTTAAAATTCCCAGTTATATTCCGATAAGTTCTAAAAAGTGTATAACAAGTAACAATGCATTTTCGAACTCTAGAAAAAGTTAAATTAAATTTTAAATCTTATCTTATTAAAATTAAATTCAAATTGAATTTAAATGATTTTAATAAAAATAAAAGTGTATAATAAAATTATCTAAATTTCTTCATGCATAAATAAAGAATAATTCACAATACGTACGTATTAATAAAAGAAGTAGCATCTTCTAAATTTGCAAATTCTGTACCAGTTGAAGATAGTGGAAGGCTTACTGAAATTTTGTGGTTTTGCAAAACTTGCGCCTCTACATAACCTATTCCATTGACATCACAATAAAGCCATCTTTTACCAGGAGCACCCATGTCATGAAGTTCTTCTTCAGAATCAGATAGGAGGTCAATAACGACATTTTCAGCCTCATTAATGATTAGTTCAGGCTCATCATCTGAAGTATCTCCCTTGGAAATATCATCAGTAGTTGAAGTTGTGCCAATATCTGTATTTTCTTTCCTTAGCAAGCTCCTAGACGAGGTAGAATTTGCATTGAGTATTGTAGTATTGGCTGAATTAACCTTGGGACTATTTTTTAACATTATTTTGTTGTTCGATATTTGGGGGACAGCTTTTTGCAGAACAGTTCTCTGTTTTGTATTCGAAGAAGCTTCGTCTGTAATAGACAATCTGTTCAAATTCACACTACGACTTATCAACGCGTCTCTGTGTCCATTTCTATTTTCTTCTTGGGTATGGGATTGCCTTCTTATAAAACCAATTCTATTGTTATTAGGTGAAAAATCAGACTGTAATCTTGACAAAGGTCTTTTATCGCGAACAGATTGTGTATTATTGATTGCGGCTGATTCTCCTTGAGGTTTAGGTAATAACTTTGGAATACTAATCATTTTTGAGGTATCAGGTTGAGGTGATTGATGCATTACATTCGTAGATGATTGTGTTTTATTCAAAGTAGTTTTTAACAGGCTATTCGGCGATGTACCTTTAATTTGGGCTAAAGAAGTGTTATTTGGATTAGTGATAATTGAACTTGAAACAATTTCTTTGTTGTCATCTGATTCTAGTCGTAGAACAAGGCTTTGATAAGCCCGCAAAAATTTTATATCATCGCCATAGAAACACATCCAGTACCCAACTGGTCTGGGTTTCCTTTTCAAGACAGTGCGCGTATATTCCGACAAACCAAGAATCTTATTGCGCCAATAAATCTGTTTGGTTATCAAACAATCTTCTGAGAGGCCGTAAGGACCAATAAAAACACCATCTTTACACCATGGTACCGCCAAAACTACCCCTCGTTCATCGGAATTTAAATTGTTCTGTTTGAATTTAAGGCGCACGTAGACGTTTTGTTGGTTCGCTGTCTGGATGGCGTTTATCAACTGAAGATAGGTTACCCTATAACCTTTGCGAGTAGATGTGAGTAAATTAAAATTTTCTTTCATTGAAACAAAAAGATATCGCATACCACTTAGAAATGGTAACGGTTCCAGTTTGGAGAAATTGTCTGATAAAGAACTGCTCCAATTTGAAAAATTTGCAGAATCTAAGTTTGGATTTTTATTAGCAACTCCATTTAAATCATTATTTAACGTAGAAACTGTAACATCTACCGTCAAATTAGAATTTTCATTTTTATTTAAACCAGTTCTTACTTTATCACAGTCTACATCTTTGCTATCAGATAAACGTCTCCTTTTTGCAAGTATCTCTTTTTGCTGATTTTCTTTGGAAATATATTTTGTAACTGAGACACTCTTACCATTAGAGATCGCTGACAATTTTCGCTTTTCCGAATCTTTGACAACATTCGCATCAACTAATGTAGCTTCAATTTCTGTACGACTCTTTAACAATTCGCTATTCAAAAGCATATTGGATTTGTTCACATTATTCTTGCAACGTTGGCTTGTTCCGTCTTTAGGTTGCACATTATTCGCGAATTCGTTAGATTTTCCTTTAACAATCGTAACTTCTTTTACACTGGGCTTAGTCTCCTTTTTCGATTTATATCCCTTTTCAATAACACCTTCTAATGTCCAGTGAGTAGGAAAAGCGCGCATGAAAACATATTGCAATTTGTGTTTGCAATCCATTAATTTCTGACAATCAGCATATATTTTTAAAGCAAACTTTGGAACATTAGCAATATTTTTCTTTGCGATTGCTGGTTCTAACGTTTTCATATCTATACAATTAGAAATTGGTGGCTTTACACCAGTTGTTAATAAAGCCATAGTTCCGTTTTGTTCAGGCTTTGTTTCAAGCCACAACTTTATCTGACTATTCTTATACTTACAAAGCATTTTATACCATTGAAGGCATTGAAACTCGTACAACCAAGGTTTTGAAATGTCAAAATAAGCATCCAGAGCTCCTTTTTGGTTCAACATTCTTATTATTTCTTTGTTTACCATAGAGCTCATTGCCTTTTGATCTTTTTGCGGCAATGGGGATGATATCATATCGACTACTTTTGTTTCAATTTGTTTGGATGAAACTATCCCTGGCGCTGGTTTAAGAGGTGGAGGACCCAAAGACAAAGGCAAAGCATGTTTTACTGGTGTGATTTTTATTGGAACGGCATCATCATCAGCATTATTTGAATTATCCATCGTATTTCCTGAAAAACTACTATTAGATACAATCTGGCTGCGTTTCACTAATATTTGTAATCGCCTTAATGATTCTGGATTTGCATTTTTTTCGCATATTTCATTGAAACGTTTTTGCGTTTCTTTTTCGCTTAATTCTTTTCTGTCACGCTTAGATGAATAAGGTTGGTCAATTCTAGCGCATCGCATTGATTTTTTCATATTATCTCTTTGCTGTCGTATAGTTGTTTCAATATAACTCATGTCATTTTTACTAGTTTTGGAAACATCCTTAGCTACGAAATTCTTGCCTAAAACACTAGTGGTAGATAAAGTAAATTCACGAAGCAAGGACCCAGTATCTCCATCTTTTTTATCGGAGGATATTTTGTCTGCCATTTGGTTTAAGTCCCAAGGTGATTTGATTTGTAATCGCGGCTGTTTGGTTACAATGTTGTCACTTTTATCTTCCTCGATACTGGAACGCATTCTTTTCACACAATCATTTGATCTACGTCTTACGCTCAAATCTTCGTCGGAAATATCTGAATGTTTTGCAGACGCGCTACTAGAAGAATTTCTACACTTAGATCTATACGATGAGTCTACATATTTTGATGATTTAGCATCTTTACATTTTGAAGGTATGGGGCTATGAGTTTCTTTATATTTCGAAGAAACAATTCCAGATGTATCTCTATGTTTTGAAGATGCAGCATATCGATATTTTGAAGATGCTGGACCTGGCTTACGTCTGACATATTCAGTTACATCTGAGGATTCTTCGTTACCTATATCACTGGAAAAACACTCCACATGCCAATTTTTCTTACGTGCAGTGCTTTTATCGTCTGTTTCTAACAAAATCGTCCTATTAAGCGTTTTTATAGAAAGTTCACTTTTTTTTGTATCTTCAGTCTGATCTGTAACATCTGGTGAAATATCACGTTTTCTTTCTGCAAATGGTTCACCAAACGCATCCTTACAATCGCAAAAACATCTATATAATTCATGCACCATGCACCAAGGTTCAACATCCTTCAAACCAAGATTGTAAAGCCGCACTTCTAAATTACGCGGTAATAGTAGTTTTTCTTTTGGTATAATTGGTGTTCTAATAATTTTTCGTGGTTCCGGTATTTCTTCAGAATTTTTAGTTGGTGATAGAGACTGAGACGGAAAAACTGTCAAATCTGAAGATATGTAATCATCGAAACGTTTGGGAACTTTAACAGATCGTTTCCGTTTTTCTGTATCGCCATCCACTAAAGTGACGCTATGATCTTGATTTACTACAACTGCGTGTTTAAATTCTGCTTCTACCGGTGCTAGTCCGCTACAAACGCGATCTTTTAATTCCAACATATCATCTTCGTCAATAGCATTATTGGATAATACACGTTTCTGTCGAAGACGGTGTGTATATTCGCATTTGCATTCAAACATGCATTCCACGTTACCGCAATGCCTTTTAATACCAGAGGCCAAACATTTTAGAGAAGAACAAATACAACCTAAGCGGCAATAATCTTCCTCGCAGCAAACCGTGTTATTAGACGCACACTCTTTTGCCTCAATAACCGTAACGTTCAAACGGCGTAGTTCTAGAGCTGTTTTTCGTACGTGCGAAATTGCGGTGGGTTCAGGTTGTGGCTGCGATGTCAGTAACTTTTCTGGTGACTTTGACAATGCCGCCGCGTCGGGGTCAACTTGAAGTATAGCATCACCCAAGAACGATGTTTCTACATAATCAAACATACCAGACAACATATTAGTTATTATTTTTTTATCGTCAGATGCGAGCTCCTGTTTTTCGCTTGCATTTTGTGACGATAATAAACCATCCGTTTCTTTTAAACGACATAATACTTCTTTCTGACCATTTCGATACTGAAGAGGAAACAAATACTTGTCTTTATTTCTATATTCATTAAGCGCTGTTGCTGCAAACATAGCTCTCCTTACATCAATTGTTTCAGAAAAAGCAGATTTCAAATATGTTTGTGCTACAGTATCTAATGGGCTATTGCATTTTGGAAACACTTCTAAGTAAACTCGTGGCAATTTTTTGCGAGTGTGTAAACCATCCCCAAAATCCATTTCACGAATTAAGAGATGTTTTCTACTTAACGGTCCTGGTAAAAACTGTGATTGTTGATCTGAATCAGTGCGCTTTATAGTTTTAGTAGACTTCTCTAAAATCTGATCGGATGAAGGTGGAGGTGTTAAAAATCTCTTACTACCTCCACGACTTCCGCATATTCGAACATATCTACCGTCTATCATCATGAATTGTTGACGAAAGGTGGTGTTTGAACTTTGTAAGTCAGTTCGCACGATTCCAGCTTAGCCGAGTCATAGGAGCATTGTCGTATAATAATCTTTCTCTAACATCGCTGCTTTCTGTTCGTTTGTTATTGGACTTCTGACGAAGTATCTGACGTTCTAGAAGTTGATCATTAATTTGCATTTTGGAACGCATTTCTGATTCAAACTCCCTTCGTAACAAACGTCGCTTTTCCGCTAGGGTTTTGGGTTTTACTATTTTCCCATTAGGTAAAGCTATTTTAGTTGGTCCTAAAGTTGGGGAAACATTCATTCTAGAATTCTTTTTCGTTCTCATTGAATCACTGGAACTCGGCGAATTTAGCCCTATATGTTCATTCAACGAATTTTCTTGCCGAAACATATCATTTCCAAATTTTAAAATTGATAAAATATCGTCTTTTTCAGAAATCTTTCTTGACCGTAAAGCTCGTATTCTTTCGATAGCATCATCTAGTCTAGGAGTAGACGATTGATTTTCTTGAGATATACCATTTTTGTCATACTCTTTTTCTAAAATTATCGCATCTGAACAGTCAAAACTTTGACTTTTAGGTTGCAAAACTGGTTTGCAATGTATTGATGATTTTTCTATTTGATCAGTATTTTCTGAAGAATTATTATGATATTCCGAAGTTTTGAAAATTATATTTGTAGGATCACTTTTTTGAGTATCATTTTGAAGTCTATATTTGAGGCTTTTGTATTTCGATTTATCCAAGCTTTTTACTGTACACCCTGAAACTCCTCCATTTAATGGAATCGCAATCGTCTTCTCAGACATCGATTTATCAAATTTTTCAAACAGCGATTTGGAACAGCACGGCATGTCCATTTGGTCTAAAATGCATATTTATTTATTGGTAATTATTAATAATATGTGTTTCATAAAATTATTTTCATTTATCAATAAATATAAAAAAATGAGAATTTGTAATCTTTATGATTTTATGCCGATATTTTTTTTAATAAGGTATTATTTTAATAAGGTATGTATTGATTTGGGAGCAAACCAGGGGGCGTAGCTACCGCTGTATCAGCCGTATCAATTATATGGGGCCCCCAAGCTAGGGGTGTCCCCAACGATCATAAGCAGAAATAGATGAAAACTGTAAACCCAAACAACGATTTTCCAAAAAATCAAATAATTTTGACATAGTTGACATTTCTTTTGTTATCAAAAGGTATTGAATTTTATTTTAGTTTTTTTTAAGCCTAACGCTTTAAGAAAATTTATATTCCGCTACGCAATATATAAAAATAATAAATTTCAAATTTTCGTATGTATTTTCCAAAGACGATGATATCCACAATATTATGCAATTAAAAAAAGACAATTATACATGTGTTTCTAAACTTAACTGATGATAAAGAAGCGCTATATTAATAATCACTTCGACAGTAAAGTAAAGTAGTACAGCTTTTCCACATCCGATAAGCTAATATTCTTGTGGATTGTGGATACAAATAAAACAAATCTATAAAAATGAACAGATCTATAAAACTAATCAAGTTTTTACAATTTTTCTCCGAATATTGGAATTTCATATTTGTTTTCTTTACTACTTGAATCGCCAGATATTTTTTCACTCTTTCAAAAAATTAATTCCATTTCTGAAACTTTGCAGCATGCCAGCAATGGCTTACAAAAAACAGTATTTTTTTTGAATAATTCTTCGCGACTGTGACTGTGTGAATTAAAACATTAAACTTGATTTAATAGTTAAAGAAGTCCAAGAATTTAGCAAAAGTTAATGAAGCGTTTCCTTGATAAGATATACAAGATGAGAAAATTTTAGACGCCAAATTTTATTTCAAGTTAATGTATACTATTGTTAATGGGATTATTATTTTCATAAACCAAGAAAGATTTTATCAAAAAATATCGTCGTTTTATTGTTAATTCAATGGTCTTGCATCCAATTTTTTCGACGTAATAATTTGCATGTATTCTTCCAGTTACAGTCGTAACTGCCGAAACTGTTTTGTTTTCTAAATAAAATAATTAAACAACGAACTTAAAGACAGCAACGTCTATCAGACCTGCCACTAATGTCCGTAGAAGCAGATACTTTAGAAAAACTAAAAATATCATCACTCAATAAATCAATTTCTCGAAAAAACGCAAGAAAAGTGAATATTTATTTGCAATTATTTGTAAAAAATCTTTACTCTACTTAAGGGGTTAGGGGTACTTGGGATTTTTGAAAAATCGAATTTTATTTTTTTGCATTTTCATTAAGGGTAACATCTTGAAAATATTCTCTGAAAATTTCAAGCTGATCCGATGATTAATTTTTGAGTTATTGGACTCTTACCAGCGCGTTGACGCAAGTGGAGAGCTCGATACTTATACTCAAGATCATTCTCCCTCACCTCCTGATGTTTTAAACGCTTTCAAACCGATTTACGACAATCTCAGCAATGATAATTTACTTTCAAGATGTGTAGTTCAAGATTAAATCCATAATCAGAAAAAATTAAAAGCTTCAACCAACTAGTGTAAAAAATATACCTAGAAACCTTGAATACTAGTTTTACTATCGTACAAATTGCTGAATTCATATACATAATTATTATTATTGATTATGGATACCCTAGAACCTAATTGTGGGTATAATTCCCATTGGTATGCTGAAAAATTGGATGCTGCACGTGTGAAAGTGGCAGATCAGCGCGCCAACGAGAACACTTAGGAGGCCGTAATGCTTCGTAGGCAACAGCAAATGGAAATTTTGGAAACTTGCACAATGACTGATCAACTATTATATAGCCCAGATATAGATGACTCGGTTTAAGCAATTCAATAATTCGAATTTCTGTACGTAAATCCAATGTGAAACTTTAAACGCGTTTTTCTCAAAACTATGTTTTTTGAAACGGTGACCACTGTAACTCGAAAACCACTTAGTAAATTTTAATGAAATTCATACAGCTTTTAGAATACATAATAAACTCGTGCCTGATCGAAGGATTTTTATTTTTTCAAAAATTTGAATTTTTTAAGACCAATTAACTGTTGATTTTTTACCCAAAAATCTAGATTTTTTCTTTCTGATGCTGCCATTTTGTTAATTTTTGCAAAAAAAAGAAAACCTTCGATCCGGCCCGGGATTAACTATCCATAAAACTATTTTTTTAATTTGATTGATTTTAGATGAATCTCTAAGGAGTTATGATGGTCACCGCCAGGACCGTTTTTCGAAACAGGGTCAACAAAAACGGCTATAACTTTGGGAATATTGATTTTTTTTTTCTGAAATTTTTGTTACATCAAGTCAAAACATGT